ACGTTGGTCCGAATTAAAATTAGAGTCATTTCATTCTGAACTTAGACATCAACATAAAAGAAAATATCATTATTTTTGATGTCTAAAAATTCATCATGCAAAACACATAATAAATCCTGAATAAAATATCTCGTTGGTTCAATTTTACCCAGAATAATAATATGTTCATTTTAGTTTTAGGCATTTTCTGTTTTAAACTGTGCAAAAACATAATAAGTATTAACTTAAACGCACTGGAAAAAAACAGAAAAACGCGACAGTGATTTTGGCCCAAAAACCCACGGCTATCCGAAATGCAGCTCAGTCCAGTAGCATTTTTTTGGACTGAAACTACCTGGGCTGAAGCCCGCGGCCGGATATGGCCCGTTAAACACCCGCCGGCCCAGCAGGGAGCCGCGTGATGCTCTCAGTCGTCGGATCGTGCCGACGGCTCGGATCGCCCCGCGACTGAGCAAAAACGGTGGCGCGGTCAAAAACCCTAGACCATTTCCTCCCCTCCACCCCGAGTCTCACTCTCTGGCAGAGCGATGGCGTTCGACGGCGGCCCAAAAGGCACGCCGGCCATGGCGGCGCGGCGGCTGCGCTCGCCGGAGGAGCGTGCAGCAGGATGAATCCCGCGCGCTCCCCTGTCGAACATGGCCCCGACATCCGTGCTCATGGCGCATCAAGGGAGGAGGGACGCCGGCCACCGCGACATGAGGGGCGACGGCGACGAGCTCGTCCATTCGAGCGGCGGCTAGTCAACGTTCCGCGCGTCGCTCCGGTGGGAGGCAACGGCGTCGCGGCGTCTCCGCCCTCGCACCACGGTGGACGCAGTGCGGGCCCCGAAGGGAAAGGCGGCTACGCGGCGCATTAGGTGAGCCTATGCCTCATTCTTCTCCAATTCGTGTTCATGAGTGCTTATCTTGGATTAGAAACAGCCCTGGTTGCAGAATGAGTGTACTTTCGAATTGGGGATAAAAACTAGGGTTCTTGATGTGGGGATTCTACTGTTTGTATACTGTTTAGACCTCTGCCTTCTAATTTGCTTAGTGCATATGGAAACAGAACTTAAGCATGTTCAATTTGAATCAACTTAACATGAAGGTGAGCATGAGATCTTAACTGAGATTAATTAAAATTGATGAACATAGGTGGCAGTAATGATCCGTAGCAAAATTAGGGTATCACATAATTATTTGCAGACGGCAATTGGCATGAACATCAAACAGTAGCATGAGCATGGGGCTAAAACTTTCAATCTTGATCATAAAACCCTAAACCTGACTTGATCTAAACTTCATGTTGATCTATAGATCAATGATATAGGGACCTATTGCAATCAAAATTGGCGACTGATACCATTGTTGGAGTAATTATGCATCTCTGGGATACCATTAGTAGGAACTGATTGCATCTAGATCACCTAAAAAGCATGAACAGAGAAGATTTAGGGAATCTTTACATGTCACGGCAGTGGACATGATCGCCTGCTCTATGCAGGTGTGATGCAGGGGTGATGTAGTCGAGATAGCAGTCCTCCTCAACGTCCTGATGCCCTCAGGACGCCACCGGCACTGCCCGGGGACAGCAGCGGTGGCTGGAGTAGGTCTTCCCGTCGCTGCAGCGCTCCCCCCGATCAGATGGGGTGAGAGAATACCGGGAGGGGAGTGAAACCGTACGAAAATTGTGATTGCGCAGGCTGCCAACCCTCTCCCGTATCCCCTTTTATGTAGCGCTGGCGACAGGGGACCTAAACTATCAGTTGGTTTGGGTGCCCCCGATCAGGGCGCCTTAGTTGGGAGAAAAAGCCCACGTACGTTGGTGCGTGGGGCTTTTTTCTTTAACGTTATCTTTCCCTTTTTTTTGTTAGACTAATAGATCTAACTGGCTTGTTAAGCCGTCAGATCAAAACCAACAAAGGAGAGCTCCGGTGACGGGTGAGATCGTAGGAAGCCGCGCCTACGCGAGCGAGCTCGGGGGAGGGGAGGCCCGCGGGCATGGAGGAGGGCTCCCGGCATGACCTATCCACCTTGAGCACAACAGCAATCAAGCACGCCCAACTGCTGCCCCTGCCGACGCGGAGCCAGTCCAGGAAACGGAACACAACACACCATTGCGGCTTGTGTAGACCTGGCTAAACCATGCTGCCAATGGGGAGGAGCGGCTATGGCGGCTCGATGGCAAGGCCGCGATGCGCGTCGTCCAGCAGGTCGGTGGCAACGCGTGGCCGGTTCTCCCGCTCCCTTCTTTCTAGGTATAGCCCTTCCATGAATTGTGTTGTATGGGAGTGCACACAGGCTGTCAAAGATCCCCACGAGGCTTCGGCGGCGGAGGACCGGGAGATTGGGTGAGCGGATGAAACCCTATATGTGTCGCGAGGAAAGATAGCGGGGCGTAGGGAGCTGGGAGAACCAGGAGGACACAACAAATTAAAAAAACGGTGTATCGATCTGGAAAGAAAAAATCGGGACGAGGGATACGGGGCGAACGTGGCTACGAACAAAACGAACGACGTCGATGTGCCAGTATGGATTTTTCCTTCACGTCCACAGACTCGGAGTAGACATTTTTCCTTCATGTAGAAAAAACATGATTTTGCCAGTATGGAAAGATTAATTAATGTGATCGAGCGATTTATTTTAAGATTAAATAATTTAGATTCGATCTTTAAAGATTGATCGTGATTGATTTTTTAAAACGTAATTTTCTCAGTATGGAAAAATTAATTAATGTGATTGAGCGATTTTTGGTAAGATTAATTAATTTAGATTTGATCTTTAAAGAGCATTACAAAAATAAGTTGCGCTAGTATGAAAAGTTCTGATCCGTTCAGATTTTTTTCATTGTGTGAGAGGTGACACAAAAATAAACTAGTGTGGTGATGGGAGGAGGACGAAAAAAACCGGCGAAAGTGATAGGATGAAAAAGAAAACCGTGGATCCAGTCCTACGGGCTGCTCCATTAAGAATAGAGATATTCAAGGGGAGTTGGTCCCA